CCTGTGTGCTTAATGAATCAGAAGTGGTTGTCTGCAGGGTCTTCTCTAAACCCTGGCACTTGCTTTGCAGCCCTAGAAATTCAGCTGTGGGATTTATCAGTTCTTTACCAATCTGATGAGCTCTACCCATGCTTGCGTGAGGATTTACAGAAGTGCCTTGAACTGATCAGAGAGCTTGTAAGACTTGCAAGATCCCCAGCTCTGCCTGGCAGCACAGTGACAGGAGTGTCACTGATAGATGTGCCTCCCTGCTCCCGAGGAAGAGATTCCTCTCCATACCTCAGCCCAGCTGCACTGTGACCATAGTGGGTCCATGAGCAGTGATGGCTTCTTGTTGTTCCTGCTGCTTGCGGACCTGCCTTTCTGGTGGCCTTGATCGGTATAGAAGAGGGGTGTCCTGTTTGGCAGCAGGGTTCTGGGAGGTTGGGGAGCAGGAGGTGGAAGCCCGTAGGTAGATAGCTGACCATGGGAGAGCACAGCGTGGCATGAGAGGCAGCTTCATCACCAGCTTGCTGCCTCCCGTCCTTGACTGCATTCCCACGGAGTTACTCACTGAAGCCCCAGTCTTCACTTGAAGGTTTTTGATCTCCCTGTGATCACGCTGAATTCACTGGCTGGCTCAAAGAAGCATTGTTGCACCAGATAAGAGCAACAGCTCTTCCCCAGGGAAGTCAGGTGGGGTCAAGGAGAGAAGTTTCACCGTCCTCCTCTACAGCCAAATAACCATGGGAAATGCAAGTTCTGCCCAGTCCCTGAGCTGCCTCAACCCTGAACTGATAGAACTGGTGTAGAGCACAGGTGAGCTGCACGGACCATCCCCAAACAAGACTCTTTCTCACCCAAACACCCGCTAACCCTCATGCTAATACATATGTAACATGTATAGGAGCCTTGGCAGCTCTGTAGTAGCTGGGAGGTTTTCCCTGTCCCCTCCCCAGTCTCACACACCGCACCTGGATGGTGTCGGGGGGTGGCTGCTGGGTTACACTTGCCCTCCCTCTGAGGGCAAGTGCCAATTTACCCGAGTGGCCATCGCCCCTGGGTGACCCCAGAGAGACTGGCTGGGTCATGGAAGGGGGTGATGGGAGCTGAGCAAGGGAACTGCTGCAATGTGCTCCTGAATTGCCGCTCCCTTAACCCTCCCAGCATCTGAGAAGAGCAAAGCTCTGTGCTGTAGAAGGTAATTACTAATATTTGTCACACAGCGTCCTCTGCAGCCTCCAAAAGCGATGCCAGATGGGTCACGTTATGGTTTCTCTGCTTTTTAGACCCGGTGGCTACAGCAACCTGTGAAAAACTCTAGGGGCCATGTGTGCTGTGCCTTAGCTTCATTTTTAACCATGTAAAATGTGACGAAATTCGGAGTGTTTATCTTGCTTACAATTTTATTTGCTTCTGCTCGCCTGTTGGCATGTTTTAGCAGGGGAAAAAACCCAACACCCGAAAGCTTTCATAGATTACATACCGAGGTACTATGTCTTGGTGGAGGAGTAGTGCTGTGGCTTGCTTGCGAGTTCTTACAGTTCTTGTACTTCTCACCTTGAATGTGTGGAGACTCTGTCAGAGGATAAAATCATAAAATCAGTCAGAGGGTTTGTCTTGTCTGAGATAATGGGTGTTTTGAAGATGTAGCCACTACCCTGTCCTGGCTGACATCTGAAAAGAAACCTGGATAGTTAAGGAGGCCACCTAAATCCAGTTCACGTGGTCCATGTGAAAGTTTCGGTACGTCCCATTTAATGTAGTATAAAATCTATACAATATTGCCTAACTGTCCCTCTTGTAAATGCTGATGAGACCGATTAGCACAGTCTGAAGTTTGCGGAAGTGATTTTTGTAAGCCTGCTTCCCCAGGGACACCAGACAAATCCAGCTACTGAGGAGGGAAGACTGCTGGTGTACAACCACCTTTGACAGGGACACAGCCCTGTTGCCCCTTGATTTTTACTGTAGTGGATTTCAGCAACGTTTCTAGTAACCTGAGTGGCCTTTAGATCAGAATTAAGACCGATAGAGCTTTAATATACTGAACAAATGGATATATGCACGCTCTGAGTTTATAACACATAAACCCAGAGTATGAGATACCAAGTATTCCAGCATCTCCAACAGTTAAGCAGCAGCTCATTTGGCATTTGGTGGCACGGTCACGTTCAGAGCAATCGTGCATTTCTTGAGTCGAGTGCCCTGCTCTGCTGGACCTCACGTTAGCGGGATCGATGGTTCTGCTGCCCTTAGGGCATGTGCCTGCCAGCCCTGCCTGTGTTCCCACACAGGGACTGAGGTGTCTGTCCCTGGAGGGAAGATAAAAAGGGACTAAACCCCTTCCAGCTGTGCCTGAGAAGCCTGACTGGGGGTTTAGGGTGTGGGGAGGGATGGGGTGGGAGGACAGGAGTGCTGAATTAGTTTTTTTTTTTTTGTTTTAAACTGGACTTTGAAATTTGGCGCTGGAGGGAGCAACAGCCACACCTTCCATGAGTAATATCCCTCCACCCCCTCTTGGCTCCTGCTCCCGACTCAACCACATGGGATAAGGGAGAGCGGTGTTTACAGAGAGCATGACCCGGAGGAAATGAGGAAGGGAGTGTGTGTGTATCTGAGGGGGAGAGACACGGGGAACGGCGAGGACGTGGGCTGGCAGGGAGGGAGGGAGCAGAGGGGAGACAGCAGAAAGGGCAGCAAACAGCACGCTGTGCTGGGGACTGCGTTTCTATCTGCTGGATTTCCATCCCCTGTGCAGCAACAGTAGATCAAATTCAACCTTTTAACTTTTTCCGGGTTCAAATCCCTCTAGTATCTATTGGGGATTACCCAAGGACAACCCCAAAATGCTGGGTTTTGAGCTCACTGCTGTAAGGGACCAGCTGCTCTTTCCCCTTTCGGGAAGGGATGAGGTTGGGTGCGCACTTCGGTGCCATCAACCTGCCTTTTCCCTTTAATTAGGTCCAGGAAGGGAGAGAGCAGCACTCTGTGGGACAGAGAGCTGAGACACAAATGTGCACAAAGAAAAATAAAGTGAGAAGGACCCAAAGTGTCAATACCTTGCTTGATTCAGACAGCAGGGAAAGAGCGAAGATGAGTGAACCAGTATTTAATAAGAGGATGGTTTGCTGGGGGTGGCAGTCACTCTGCGAGGGTTTGAGTTGTTAGTGGGTTGCTCTTAAATGTCTTTTCACGTCTCGATAGTGGGGTGCACTCTTCTAAGGAGGTGGGAGTAGTGACACTGGGGCTGGGGGAGCTGGCTGGTCTGCACCGTGTTATGGGAAGGGCGTGCTGTGGGGCCGGTCATGTTGCTACTGAGGAAAGGAGAGAGGAATCACGGTTTTATTTTAAATGAGTTGCTGCACAGGAGTTTGCACCTTGGGGGCAGGGAATCCCAGGCAAAGACCAATGCGGTCGCTCCAGAGGGTTACAAATCCGAGGCAGATTGGTCTCAGGGTCATTTGCCTTTCAAATCTTTTGATCATCTTTGGACCCAGCTTTAGGGTCCAATGCCATAACAGGCAGGAACTTGCTCTTCTGCCAGCTCAGCCTATTTACAGGTTCTCTTGCTGGCTTTGACAGTCATTGGTGAAGTGACCCAGAATAGCCTTGGCCTTCCCTTGTTATTTTATTGTGCCTGAGCAGCTGAAGCTCCAGCTCCCTCCTGCCACTCCCATAATTTATTAGCTGTCTCTGAGAGATGCGTAGGTGATGCACTGTAGACCTGATGGCACAAGAAGATGACTTACGGGTGGGCAATGTTGCAGCGAACCATCAGGCAGCAGAGAGGAGGTTCTGCAAGCCAGACCTGGCCAGGAGCGAGCAGAGACTCAAAGGGGGAGGCTTTCCCCCACGCCAGTAGTGCTGAGCTGAATTCTCGAGTCCTACATGTGCTTGTGGGCGTCTTTTGCCACGTTCTCAAGTGCAACTTGGGCGTACAGGGCTGCGTGCTCACGGGGAGGTCTGGTCCTGCCATCTTCATGCAGGAGGCTCTTGCTGAGCAGAGATAAAGTGCTGCTGGGAGGATGGAGGGCTGAGGGTCAGGACTTGAATCCTGAGCAGGAGTATTTAGTTCTGGGGTCTCGTCTAACACAGCCTAACATCTAACCTGGCACCAGCAGGATTCAGGCCCGGGCTAGCGCTCAGGCTCCATGGCAAAAATAAATTTTTGCTTCCTTCCCACGCAGTTTGTGCTTAAAGATGGGGGAGGTGAGTGTGTGCGGAGGAACAAGGGGCGTGGGGTAACAGAGAATAACAATTGTCTTAATGGAAAGAGAGAGGGAGAGAGAGAGAGAAAAAAAAAAAAAAAAAGGGTTGTTGAGCTCTTTCTCTCCATCCCCGAAATAATAGACCTATTACTATCCCCAAACCTCAGCCCCCCTCCCATCCCTGTTCCCCTCCCCAGAGAAGAATTGGTCACTGCACAGCTGTGTGAGCTAGAAAAATATATTTATATATATAAGAGAATCTGCCCTTCTGAATTGGTTTGTGGGGATGGACAAAACCTCATTGTGTGCTTTATCTGCCCCGAAGAGAATGGTCCCACAGTCTTTGCCTGGCAGGGGCTCTGCGTTTGGTTAACTGTGGTCAGATAACTGTAACTTCATTTAGATACTGTACTGGGTTTTTTTGTTGTTGTTTTTTTTTTTGTTTGTTTTGGTTTTTTGTGGTTTTTTTTTGTTTGTTTGTTTTTTTTTTTGAGGCATTATTATTGATTGTGGGCACATCTGGGGAAGAAAATACAACTGTCCCTTCCCCCAGCCCCCGTGCTGGAAGGAATTTTGGGGGGTGATTTATGGCCGGGTTTGAGAGCAGGGGGTCAGCCCCGCGGGGTTGCTCTGGAGCTTCGTACCGTTGGAAAAAGCCCTCGGGGGGGTTGTGTGGGGCGCGGGGGGGAAACGGGTCCCGGGAGGTGCCGTCTCTCGGGGGACCCCCGGGTACCGGGGAGGCGGGAGGAGGAGGAGGAGGAGCGGGGCCCCGGAGGGCGGGGAGGAAGGGCGGGAGGGAGGAGCGCTCGGCCGCAGCCCAAGTTTGGGGGCAGCGCTCGGCGGTGCGCGGCCGAGGCCGATGGGCAGCGAGCGGCCAGGCTCGGTGCCGGGACCGGGACCGGGAGCCCGGAAGAGCGACGGGACGGGGCGCTGAGAGCGACGGGGTTCGGCTGCGGAACGGTGCGGAGCGGGGCGGAGCGGTGCGGAGCGCGGCCAGGCCCCCCCCGGCCCGGCCCGGGGGGATGCCCCGCTGCAGCCGCGGAGATTAGCCCCGGCCACCCGGTGCATGGCCCAACTATGGAGGTGGTGGACGAGACGGAAGCTCTGCAGCGGTTTTTTGAAGGTAAGAAATGCCCCGCCGAGTCCCGACAAAACTCGGGGTGGCCCCTTGACCCCAACCAAAAGCTCGGAGGGACACCGGCTCCCCGTCCCCGCGCAGACTCCTGCTGTGGGCGGGCATCCCGTGGGTGCCGGGGCGGCCGTCCCGCCGCGCCGAGGGCTGGGGGGCGCGTTGCATCGTATGTCAGGTGCCGACCCCTCGGCGTGGGCCCTCACAGCGGGCGCAGGCTGCTGACAGCAGCTTTGGGTGGACGGATGGCAGACGTGGCCGCGGGGCCAAACCCCTGGCCGCCCTCTCCGTGGGACCAGAAGCTTCTCCACCTGGCTGCTGGGCACAGCAGGTTGGAAGCGAGCTCACCGCTGTGCGCTTTATGGGCACGGGGTGCTCCTCTTTGCTCTAGAAAATAGCGGTGGCATCCAGCAGCGGACCCCACGCCATCACTTAATCGGTGGCTGTGGGCTAGTGCTGTCCAGCCAGGATACGGAATGTGTGTGGATCAGAGTCTCCTCCCCACCAGTGCAAACCAAAGGCAGGTTTTTACTGAAACCAACAGTGGAAAAGCAGCTGTAAAGAGAATTTAGCCTCCCTATCCCCGAGGGGGGAAACGCGGTGGCTTGTGGCAGCTGAGGGGTTGGTAGGACTGAACCGTGGGGCTGGGGAGGCGTCGGGACCCCGATGCTTTTTGTTGTTCCTCCCTCAGCTCAGTGTTTCTTCTCCCCACTCTGGCTTCGTCGACATGCTTTGCTTTTCCTCGTCACCTGCATTGTCGCTTCTTGTTCTCGCCTCGCTGCCTTCGTTTCTCTCTTTCGGGTGCTGCACCCCGCACCGCGTGCCCCTCGTTCTCAGGTGGGCTGTGGGCAGAGGTTTCAGGCTGCACCCGTTGGTGTGAACCCCTAGCGCGCTGCTCGAGGGCGAAACAACGTGCCCATCCTAGCGAGGCTCCGTCCACAAACCGGTCCTGTTGCCACTGGCGGAACTGGGATCTGCTGGGGAGGAGCCCGGTCCGTGGCGAGCAGGCTGCATGCGTGGGGCAGCCCTGGAGCGTGGATTTTTCCCCCCAGGTTTTTGTGTTGTGCTTTGCCTGCGGTGGGATCGGGCAACGTGCTGCCTGCTCCCGCTCAGCTGCTCGCTCAGTGTCACCCCGGGGCGGTTGGGGTGGGAGGGTTGTGTCCTTTCCCTTCCTTTGGCTGCTGCGAGGGTTTCAACCTGGGAAGGAAAGCAAAGAGAGACCAAAACCAAGAAGCTTTCAGGAGTGAACAGAAGCTCAAGCTGCTCACTTCTCACTTCCCTCTCTTCTGGCATCTGTGTGATCCCTCGCTAGTGCAGCTCTTCAAAGGAAAAAGCATCCCCTGTTTGTTCCAGCCGCGACGCTGGATTCCTGGGAGCGACAGGATTAGCGAGGATGGGAAGCCTCACCACGCCGGCTCTTATCGTGTACTCCCAGCCTGTGTTCTCCTCGGCCTTTGGGGTGGGGGGGTGGGTTTGCTTTGTTTTTAGGGTTTCACTTGGGCCAATCCCCTAAATCCTGCCCACCCAGCACCTCCCTGGCATCCCGCACAGCCCTCGCTCAGCACCCCGGCGGTACTTACAGGCGTTAGACCCCACCTGTCTGTCTCTTCATTTGTAGAAGTGGAATTTCTCCCTCTCCCCCAGAGCAGCTTTTTGTAGGGTGAATGGTTTCTTTCTTTGTCTGTCTGTCTGTCTTATTCTTTCTTTCTGAGTGCTGTGGGTGATTCTGCTTGAACAAGATGACCTCAAGAGATCCTTGCCAACCTCAACCATTCTGGGATTCTTTTTCTTTCCTACTTTATCTATCTTTGTGTATCTTTTTTTTTTGTATATTTTTGTATTTATTTTATATATTTGTGTATATTTTTGTATCTTTTTTTGTATCTATCTTTTTGTATCTTTTTGTATCCTTTTTGTATCTTTTTTGTATCATATTGTGGCTTTTTGTATATTGTATCTATGTGTATCTCTTTGTATCCTTGTGTACCTATTTGTATCTTCTTGTATCTTTTTGTCTTTTTGTATCTTTCTCACCCTTTCTCTGTTTTGAATGAAGACCGTCTTGTCACTGTAAAAATCAAGAGTGAGGGAAACTGGGCCTGAAGGATTGTTCTTAGCCTCCATTTGCTTACTTGTATAACTTCCTTTTTAGAACTTCCCAGAGTATTTTTTTTTTTTTTTTTTTTTTTTTTGGTGGATCCCAGCATGGCTGTTTATTTCGTTTGGGCAGCCAGATCCCTTTTGTTATTAAAGAGCATCTGTTACAACACAGTGTTTGAGGGTGAGAGGGGAAGAGCAGAAAGTTTTACCACGAAGGATTGCTGCTTAGTTCAGTTTGTGCAGTGAGTGAAGAAATGAGGCTCTTTCCTTTTGTGCCCGCTTTAATCGTGGTGCTCTGAAGGAGTATGCAGCCAGACTGACCCACTGGTATTTGGAAGTGAAGGTCAGTGCCTTACATTGCCCCCTTTGTAGCATGGAGTCAGATTTGCCCTGGAATCTCGCTGTCCTGAAGAATTCATGGTTTCTGGACTTGTAATATTGTGGTTAACAATAGATCTGTTTGAGCTTATTAATTTACAGGAGTAAATTCATTAGTAGAGCCAATTCCTCACTACCCCAATCGCTTCTTTAAAATGCATCTTCCTGGAGGGAACACATGTTCAAACCATCTTTTTCTCTTATAGTGAAATAGTTTTTCTTCTCACAGATCACCATCTCACCAAGTGGAGATTTTATGCTAAAGGGATTTCTTCCCGCACACTGAAAACCCTGAACTAATTTGGGAATTCCCTTTCCTTTGCTTGACTCTGATTTGCGCAGGATCTGAGCCTGCTGTAAGCAATCCCACCATATTTAAGAGTAATCCTTTAGTGCTTGTATAGCACTCGGTATTTCAAAGTGTCAGACAAGGATTAACTGGTCTCTTCTTGCAGACTTTTGGGGAGTGGGGGCTGTGCTGGCTGAGGTGTGGAAGAGAGTTGGTGTCTGTGCTTAATTCCAATTCCTGGCACTCGGCTGGCTCCAGCAACAGCACAGCAGGTCCCATCTGCTGAGCAAGGCTTGTTTGTGGGAGCAAGCACTCCCAAGATTTCAGGTCCAATTGCCCACCTCTGTTTTTTTCAGCTGCAAGAGATGGACCTTTATTTTCCTAAAGAGGGCTCTCAGTATTTGCTTGGGCAGGATATCGTTATTTCCCTGGAGCACAGCCGTCTGCTCTTTGAGAGGGAGAGCTGAGACGTGCGAGGATGGAGAAGCAGAAGAACGATGTGAAAAGTTTGGGGCTTTGTTCTGAGGTTTGGGAAGGGGCTAAAGAAAAGCATAGGCCAAGAGAAAAGATGGGTTGGGCATAACTTCACACCCTCCTGGGATGAAGATGCTGCGAGGACGAGTCTGGCTGGAGGTATGGCCTCGGAGTGTCCTCGAGGTGGGCCTGTCCTGGGGGGAGGTGGATCATCGCTTTCCTGGTGTGGGTCAGCACAGCTGGTAAATGTGTTTGGTGGTGCCCAGGACCATCCTGCCGAGGAGAGCTTGGGCAGACAGCTGGGAGAGCTCAGAGGCAGAGAGTGTGGGATGCAGGGCGTTCTGGCAGCAGAGGTAAAGGAGCTCAGTTTGGTCTTTCCATAGTATTGGGAGTGTTTACCCAGAGCATTTGTATTTTGTATCAAAGGAAAAATAGGGAGTTGAAAGCGTCTGACCCTTGGCTGGCATCCTGCTAGAAACCTTACCTTCCTCCCTGCCTACCACTCGCGTAAGGGAAACAGTTACGACAGAGCTCAGCTATTCGGGATCCCTCTCTCTCTCGGCTAATTTATGAGATAAGAGGTTGTTAAAGAATGTATATCAGGAAAGATGTGCAGAGTGGGGCTTGGGGGGGCAGGGGAGTGGGCGGTTTGGCAGATGGCTGAATGGGGTTAGGGCAAGAAATGGAGAAAGACTAACGAGCGCTAAAAGTTTGGAGGATTTGGGGTTGATCTGTAGTTGGTTAAACAGAAACGGCCAGATCTCAGCGAGGGCCTGTGAGCCCTGTGAAATGAAGTAGCTCTTTCCGATTTCGCCCTGAGCGGTTGGAGCTCACGCCAGCGGCCGGAGCGCTGGGAAGCGCGCGTTTGCCGAGCGGCCGTCTGTCTGTCTGCGGGCACGTGGAGCTCAAGGGGTCGCAGGATCCTCCGAGCGGGGAGTCAGCAAGCGAGCGCTGGGCTTTTTATCAGCAAGGCAGCAAGCGTGTTTGTGTTAGTGAATGGTTTTGCCCGTAAGCGTGCGTGTGTATGTGTGTTAATGGTATCGGTTACTTTCTCGGTGATTTTTATTGTGTATCATGGAGCACTTTTTGTGTGTGGGTAGGAAACGCTCCCTTGCCACCCTGCAGGAAGAGGTTGGGGCTGTTTCCCCATACTCCTCGGATGATGAGAGAGGAAACGATGGGGCTGAGGCAGGGCAGTGAACACAGGACTCGTGGATTTGCACCTTGTTCACCATGCGGTGTGGTAAGGGCTGGGTCTCTGTGCGCTCTGTGTCGGCAGGAGGATTTGGTGGTGGATGGCAATGAGGGGAGAAGGCCAAAAATTCACTAATGTAAAGCAACGAAGCCGTGAACTTAAGAGGAATAATAGTTTCTCTTCAGAGCTGGCCAGCACCTCATGGCAGGGGGAAGCATCCCTGAGCCAACAGTGCTGGTGACCCCACCTGTGAGTTACAGCTCGCTGGGGCAGTTTCAGGGATTTTTTTTTGCCAGGCGGGAGGTTGCAGGATTGCAAAAAAGTGTCCCAGAGAAACAAGGGACTGCTTTGCAGTCTTCCTGGCTGCTTAGGGGTGTGGAGGGGAGAGCGGTGAAAACATTGGGAGCAGAAAGGGCAGGAGGAGACTAGACCCCGGGTGTCTAGAGCGGAGGTTGTGGTGTCTGTCGTGGTGCTGGCTGGCAGGCAGGAACCACACACACAAACCGGGACAATAGGTGTGTTTTTTAGGTCCCTGGGCTTGACATAGCAATGCAACCA